GTGCACACGAGAGAGAGAGAGAGAGAGAGAGAGAGAGAGAGAGAGAGAGAGACAGACAGACAAACAGACAGACAGACAGACAGACAGGGAGACAGAGAATGTTTTACCGAGCGAGATTGATTCAGCACGTAAAACATGTATTCCCTACTTGTCTAATTGTGTATATGCGTGAGTGCACCTAACCTTTGTAACATACACTGCCATTGTAAACGACCAAAGAAAAATATACTCTCCCTGAGAGATGAATAAAGATTGTCATTGTCATTGTCAGCGGGGTAGCGGTCAAGCGCTTCGCTGTCGCATGCAGGAGACCTGAGTTCGATTTCCGAGTGGGAAAATATTCGTCGAGTATCTAGCTCTTTCTGTTGAGATCTCAGCTCGGGTTTGCTATTGCAGGCAAATTCGAAAGGCCGCCTCCAAAATAATTTAAATTGTGTCGATAAAGGACGTAGAAATAGATATACTACAGAAAAAATAGTGTTGTGTACGTTTTGTCAAATTATAGGCCTCTTAAGATGCAGTGTCTCATTCATTCATTCATTCATTCATTCATTCATTTATTCATTCATTCATTCATTCATTCATTTATTCATTCATTCATTCGTCTTTTAATTCGTCCTGTGTCACCGGGTGAACTTTTACATTATCTCCATCGCCAGGAGCCGTGTGATACCAGACAGGTTGAATAAATAATCAATTAATTGATTAATTAATAAATAAATTAAAGCACTCACTTACCCGTCCTCTGCTTCGTTGTGTATCACCAGGTGAACTTTTACCGTTTCTCCATCGCCTGGAGCCGGGTGATGGCTGACGGGACACCTGCTATCACCAACCAGGCCGGCATTGACTACTACAACAAACTGATAGACGCACTTATAGCTGCTGTATAGCGTATCACACGAAAAACACACTTGCAATAAGAAAATGATCGCAAGTTTTAAACTCTCTGACGAGCTCGTCATCATCAGGGCTTGTGCGTGTGGTTGTTAGGCTAACACGTAAATCGTGACAGCCAGCCACCCTCGCCCCCCCCCTCCATTCCAACGAATATTTACAATCTATCACACGAACAACACACTCTCTCTAAGAAAATGATCGCCAACAACAAACTCACCGACGAGCTAACCACCTATTTGGGTTTGTAATTGTGATTGTTAACCCTTTGACGACGTAGCAGAGATACGTGGTATGTCCCATCAGCTGACCGAAAGCAATGGCGCGACACATTTCACAAATTAGACAGACATTAGAAATACGAATTTGCACGAATTTGTTGTCTGCATTTTTAGGTTCGCAGTATTGCACATCATGGTGTGTTGATATGGACTGTGCTAAGGTGTTATGTATATCCTTTATATTATATTTGGGAAAGTCTGTCTTCTAAGACGCCATTGTACGCGTCCATTCACAAGCAGTGCGCATCGTTTCCACAATGACTTGACGATCGATTCTTTTGAGTCCTTTCATCGAACGGGTGCCCAGCAAGTTATTTATACCGCAACATGGTAAATTAATTATTACATGTTGATATTGTTTGTATGGTGATGGTATCTATCATGTACACTTAATCTAAACTTTACCTTATTTTATACATCCGTTGTAGCTGCTGTTCTGTTGTGACCCCCCGACGGAGATCATCACAAGCATACAAGTGGCATGTTTCTGTCTTTTGGGAAGAAAAAAACCCCCAAGAAACAAAGAAACAAATGATCTAACTCACAACAAAACAAAACCAACCCCTCCACCCCCCCAAAAAAACCAAACAAACAAACAACAACCAACCCAAAAAAAAAGAGAAAACAAAGAAAAAAAACCCCAAACCCCAAAACGCTCCCGACTTCCCCCATCCTAAATGAAAACCAAATGAAATGAAAACAGAAATAAAAACAACTTTTCCTGATGTGTCATTTCCAGACCCAGCTGACCGGGACGTGTTCCTATACGACACCTTCCCGTCAGACTTCATGTTTGGAGTGGCCACGTCAGCCTACCAGATAGAGGGTGCATGGAACCTGGACGGTATGTGTGTGTGTGTGTGTGTGTGTGTGTGTGTGTGTGTGTGTGTGTGTGTGTTTG